CCAATATTATTCAACTTTTTTTAAACCCCTTAAATTTATTAATTTAATTAAATACCCCTAAATATTTTTTTAAAAATTGCAAAAACACCCCTAAACCCACATTATACCAGATTCCGGCCACCACTGCCGGAAGATGGCCGGAATCTGGTATAATGGCGCACTACCAGCTGAATCTGACCGGTAGTGCACCGATCTAGCATTTTCCGGCCAGATTCATGGTGGATCTGGCCGGCAAAGGCCAGATCTTTGGCAGTAGCCAATCGTCAACGACGGCCAACATATGGTCGTCATTGACCATCAACGACGACCGTATGTTGGCCGTCGTTGACAAGCAAATGCGGCCAGATCTGGCCATCAATGGCTAGATCTAGCCGTAGATCTGGCCTTTGCCAGCCATATCGGCGCACGACCGGCAAGATTCAGCCAGTCATGTGCAGATACGGCGACTCCGGCCACCCTCCGGCGGTAGTGGCCGGCTATGATTATTCAATGGGTGGGTTGGGAGTGTTTTTATTAACTTTTAAAGTTTTATTATAGGGGTGTTTAGTAAATAAGCAAACATATGGGGTATTTTTATTAATTTTCAAATTCTATTTGGTAATACCCGTCCAATTCAACTTTTTTTAACTTTTTTCAAAAAACTTTTCTAAAAAATGCAAAAAAGTGAACCAAACGGAACCTAAATTCTCTTGACTTTTTAAGCATTTTATTATACATATGCATTACTATTTGAAGAAAAATCATTGACTGTCCTTAATTCCTTATATTTTCGAAAACCTTCAAGCAAATAAAAATCATAACAAGATGTTTAAATCTTATTCTATTTACAGAATCAGACATATATAAAAGTAGTGTTACATAGACAAATTAAATGTGTGAAAACCAAGTTCTTAAAACTTTCTGAGAAAGCATAATCGAGAAAAAAAGAATAGGTGAACGAAACTAGAAAGTAGTATAAAAGTGAAATAATCAAACTTTTTAAAGAATGGTAGTTAATTTAAGAACTTTTTTAAAAAAAAAGAAAAAAAAAAAGAAAAGAAGAAAGGGTACTAGTAGTAGTCAAAGATTAACACATCAGTTCTTTCTTTTTGTCTCATCAAAATCTCCTTAAGTGTCATTAGACCTTAATGATTTGTGATAATTAAGCAACAAAAAATATCAAAGAAATTAGTAATAAAAATGGAATCCTACTGGGCAATTAGCCTTCTCAAAATTTCTAATCTTGATTAGACATCAAATATGGTAGTGGGGTGAATTTAATTCATGTCCCAGTCACAAAATTTGGAGTATATAGCCGACCTATTTGGGAAATTAATGGATTATTTCTTGGAAGAAAATTTTGAAATGAAAGCACAAGTATTTTTTAAATAATTTCTTGGAGGTAATTATTGAAATGAATATACAAACCTTTCAAACAAATAGTTGAGAGATACCTTATCCCATAGTGCTTAATTAATTAATTAAACATGGGAGATGATAGCATCATTACATCATGCCTAAGTATTTCTACACTTGATTTTTTTTCCATTAAGAAATGGGAATTCTCTTAGTCTAAATAAGGGTTATTATCTCGTGGATCATGCACTTTTAAGTGTTTTTTTTTCTTTTAATTAATCGTCTTAATGACCAAAATACAATAGGTATTACCAAGATCCATTAGAAACATTTTTGGGTTGTTGGTGCCAAAGTCCCATATTGATTAGAGGACGAGGGTCTTAATTGCTTATATAGTACACACAAACCCTCATCATCTAGAAACGTCTTTTCAAGACAAAAACTATCCAAGTCTTAGGGTTAAAAAAAGACAATACTTCTGAGAATCTACCCATCATGTGTCGGATCCGTATACATCAATAGGAGAACCCAATTCCAATTTACATTCATGGGTTTCTTTAAACAAAAGTACTTCCTCGCCTTAGAGTATAAATTCTATAAAGCGAAAAAACAAGCAAGCTAAGGTGTAGGTTTTCAATAGAGTTTTGATTAGGGTGACGGAAGGGAAGAAGTGGAATACACAAGTGGGGTCATAAAATTGTAGCCCTAGTTTGACAAGGCAATATGAATTTATTTATTTAATAAAAGGCAACAAAGTGGTATGGTGAAGGGAGAGAATATGAATGATTCTCCAAACACCAACCAAAAGTTAATTCAACAAAATAACAAAACCACATGGAGGACTCATAGATGATGATGATGAAGAGAAGAAGAAGATGAAAAAGAAGAAGAGAAGAATTTTTGTCTAGGGGCGGCCTTCCCTCACTCTTAAACACTTTGTCTAAGTAAGACTAAAAAAAAGCAACAATTTTTTTTTTTTTTTTATATATATATAACATCAAGTTATTTTCGTAAACCGTGATGATCGTTTATTTTATCATATCTAATGTTTTTCAAAAGTAGAAAGTCCAATATCTAATGTTTTCAAAAGTATTGAAAAGTACCATCGAAACTTAAAGAAACAAAGTATGGACGGAATTAAATTCAAACCATGAAATTAAGGAGACATTAATTGAAGAAAATTTAGTATAATAATAATTGAAAATGACAAGAAGAAAAAGTATAGAAGAAATAAAAAAAAAAAAAAAAAAAAAAAAGGTAGTATCTTTCGGCATTCCTTTGAGATGTTGTCTTCTCACAAACCATAGTGCAAACTAATGCTAACAAACGCTTCTTACCTGTAATTTGTATGAGACATGCCATCTCACTCCACTTTTTCTTTCTTTTTTTTTTTTTTTTTATAAAATTATTCAAAAATATATGGATAGTACTTAGAATCTAACACAATCCAATCAGTGTGTTTTAACCAACCCATCTTCGGAAAAGTCTAAAATATAAAAGGTAATCTATTTCTGTATATATTCTCAACGAACAACATGATTGTGATTATTAAAATATTCTTTTAACTTGAATGATCTATAATAAATATGGTTTTTTATTTTATTAATAACATAAAATAAAAAAAAGGGAGCCTTAGAAAATGTCATATACAAAATAAAATTAATTAATGCATAAAAAAATTGCATAATGCTCAAGATGAGCTTATTTTTAAGATTTCAAGTAGCCTTTAAATTAATATTAAAATTGATTTTTAATTTTCTACCTTACCCAATCTAGAATTTATTATTCTTTTCTCCATATTTATAATATCATTTATTTATACCACCAATGACATGAATGACATTAAATGCCATTATCTAAAAACAATTAAAATAAAAAATATCATTCTTTTATTTATGGAAAAATAATAATAATTAGATTAGGAAGGGAACAAAAGATTTTGTACCCATATTTTTATGAAGTCAATCTGGTTGACCCGTTTAGCCTGACCCACCAACAATTCAAATCCTAGATGCTTTCAGTGGAGCGTGTTCATCACGCCCGTCAAAAGATGCGTCCTCACTAATGTTTGATTATTATTAATTAGACTAATCCTCTATATATATATATATATATATATATAAACCGAATATATATTTTATTTTTTCTCACCTTATTTAAACTTTATTAATATAAACTACCCTATATAGATAAATATTTTTATTTCGTAATAATTTGAAAAAAAATTGGAGCTCTAACTCAGACAACAATTTTTTTTTTTTTTTATAATGAAATAATAAAAAATTATTTTATTAATAATCTTAAAAGATACCTTAAGATTACGATAAGATCACTTATTTGTAATATGATTCAATAATCTAAGAAATATAAACAAATGTATATTATCTAAAGGTATATTATATAGTTTTGGTATTTATGAGGTATATAGAGTGAATATTAAGTTTTTATTATATTTCAGTTGAAATTTTCTGATAATTTTAAAGGAAATTTATGATGATTTTAAAATCTAAAGGATATACTTTAGACAACAGATGTTTTGAAAGTTTTTAATGTACGGATCAAAGATAAGCGTTCAAATACAAACCTTCCATACCTTATAATAAAAAGCAAATATTTAGATACAGATACGAAACATGTCATTGTTTAATTTCATAAATAATTCAATAATATTATTAGAAAAGAAACGCTTTCAATCATATAAATAGATAAATAAGATGATAATATTTAATATATCAAGTAGCTTTATAAGAGAGATTATGATATTTATTTATTTATTAAAAATTAAAATTTTATAATAAACATGATGAAATAAAAAATAAAATAAAAAACTCTTAAAAAATCGACTCCTCAAACTACAAACAAAATCTAGGCACCGAAAAACACTATAGCTGATTAAATACTCATTAATTTTATAAAAAATTAAAATATAATAATAAAAACAAAGATAAAATTCTGTTTATATACTGACGCTGACACCCATTCTTACCCAATTCAATAAATCCAAATAAAAAAAATACAAAAAATTGCAATTAAATTAAAGGCATCAACCCAAACACATGCATCATGCTGACCAATCACAATGAAGAAAGAATCAAACTCCTAAATAAAAATATTATCATTTCTATAAATGGGATAATTTTAGAAATCCCTCGGATTTTCAAAAATTATCAGATAGATGGTAAGTTTGAGAAAACTTAGCAAAAATGCCCTTTAGGTTTTGAGAACGAGTGAAAGACTTTATGATACAATTTGTATGAAATGACTCTTTTGCCGTCGGTTTTTCACACACAGTGAGAAGATGCTAGAAACTAAAGTTAACAGACTTATAAGAATATTATGTTATTAACGACAATTACAAACTAATAGTGGAAAATAAAAAGCGTCAACTAACTAGGCCTTTTTAAATTTCTGAAAACATGAGGGATGGTTTAAAAATTATTCCTCTGGGCTTGATAATACTCTACTTCACTGTTACATTACTAGTAGATAAAAAGAATCTAATCTACTTTCATAATTAATTAATTAAGAAAATTAATAAACTAATACAGTAATAATTATAATTATAATTAAGAAGGAAAAGTAAGAGAGATGATGGAGAAAAAGAGATTTAATGTATAAAGAAAGAGAGAGTTGAGGGTTTTAATATTCAAATCAAATGAAAATTTTATTAGTATCAAGGAAGAAGAAGAGCAGAAGAAGAAGAAGAAATATTAATAAATAAGATATTAATAATAATATGGTGGTTTTGTTCGAGATGCGAGCTGATTCCGGTAGAAAGGGAACCTTCTCCGTACTTCTTCTTTTTCTTCTTTTAATCCTCATTTTGCCTCGCATTTAATTCATCTACCACTCTTTGTTAACCTTTTTTCTTTTTTTCTTTTTTATTTTTTTTTTGGGTTTACAATTTTTTGTTACTGGGTGACTTGGCCTTCAATTCTTGAAACTTATTTAAGTTTGTAGTTAGTTTTGCGTTTCTTGATTTGGGATTGGTGGGTTTATTTAAACTTGAAGTGGGCTGATTCTTCTTGATTTGGGATTGGTGGGCAATTTGATAAAAGGGAGAAAAAAATTAGGGTTTGGTGGATGCTATTGTGATTGTGTGATGATTGAATCTTTATTTGGATGCATTATTCATGAATCGGGGATTGGTTAAGCATTTAATGTTTGGATTTGAGGGGATTAATTAGGGTTAATTGTTTTGTTTGTTGCTGTTTGACAAATCTTTGTTATGTTGTTGTACGATTTTGGTGTAAATACTTTGAGATTTGTGAATCTTTTTTTAGTTAATAAATTGATGTGTTGATTTGTTCCTCCTTTGATAAATTTTGTGATTCCTGGGAGGAATTTGATTTCATTTTTTACCCATTTTTAGTTTAAGAAAAAGAAAGGAAAAAAAAAGAGTCAAAATAATCAGTTGTAAAACACCCAAATCACCCACTATTTTTGTTGTGGGATTTATTATATCAAATTTGAGTCAGGAAAAAGCTTTAGATTTTTTGTTTCTTTTTTTAAAAGAAAGTGAAATACTCAATTTAGAAGAAGAAGAAGCCGCAGCAGAAGGAGAAGTGGAGTTTACACGATACTTTGTTGGGTTTTTGTTGTTCTATGGGAATATCTGATAGTTCAATATTAGATCTGATACAGAAGGTTAGGTCTTTGATTTCTTGGGGCGGTAGTGATCTATCAAGTTTGTCTGGGAAATTTGAGATGCCTGATAGTCGCCGCAAAATGTGTTCTGAGTGTGATACAAAGTTGAATGAATCTTGCAATGGATATCATTGCCAAAGTTGTGGCCGTTGGTTGTGTAGGAGGTGTAATCAGAGTACTGAGTCTGGGGAGAGTATCAAGACTTGCAAGTTTTGTAATGGGATAAGTGTGAGGCATGGATGTGGGAGGAAGAACAGTGAGAAAGTTCATCCTTCTGTTTCACCTCGAGAAAGCCCTGAGCCACCTTCACCTAGTTTTTGTTCTGAGAAAAATGATTGCTCTGTGAATAGTGAATCGGTTCAGATTGATCGTCTTGCTCACTATCTTGAATTCCGGGATTGTGGGTACTCTCCCCATGCAATGACCAGCCGGAGCCAAAGTATGACATCATTTAGTGCTCAGCCTTCTCCAGTATCTGTTCGGCGTTCGCCCAGCAGGTAAATCACTATCAGATGGCTGTAAGCCTGTAACAGTTAATTGGCATGGCGAAACAATTAGTTTAATGCATGTGTATTCAAGACAACTGTATTTTTTTTTTTTTTTTAATTTTTTTTTATAGTTGAATGTTTATTCTTTCTTTTTTTTGATAGTGATTGTGTTTTAATGTGTCTATTTATTAATCCAGGAGTGATGGAGAAGAGGCAGAGGAATCCGGGAATCACTTTTTCAGCCCATCTAGTGAGTATTATCACGATATTTCAGATATAGATACAAGTAGTATTAGTGCTAGACATGAGTTTTACAATTTTAAGTCATTGGGATCAAGTCCCTCTGACAGCCCCTCTAGGAATAATTTTACCCCTTATAGAGGCAGGCATAGTGTACAGCAGGCGCAAGAGGGAAGCCCATTGTCTCATAATGATAGTCCCTTCCATCAAGAAAGTGTGGCTGTTTTAAAAAGGCCTTATAGAGGGACTGAGGATCCGGAAAATACTGATGATTACTCTGATGACCTATCAATTTTTCGTGACCAAGATGGTAGATCTCAGAAGCCATTGGATTTTGAAACTAATGGTCTTATCTGGTATCCCCCACCACCTGATGATGAAAATGATGAGGCGGAAAGTAATTTCTTCTCATATGACGACGACGACGACGATATCGGGGAATCAAGTGCGATGTTCTCATCCAGTAGCAGCCTTTCTGGTATGTTTCCAGCCAAGGAGAAGCAGAATGAGGGTAACAAAGAACCTCTTAGGGCTGTGGTACAAGGGCATTTTAGGGCTCTTGTTGCAGAGCTATTACGGGCTGAGGGTATCACAGTGGGGAAAGATGACACTACTGAGGACTGGCTTGGCATAGTCACAATGCTAGCATGGCAGGCTGCAAATTTTGTGAAACCAGATACTAGCAGAGGAGGCAGTATGGATCCTGTTGATTATGTAAAGGTTAAATGTATAGCATCAGGAAACCCAACTGAGAGGTATATATGTTTCTATTTTTCCGATATTGCAGTTCTTGGTTTTGCAGACTCTTTGCTTGTATGGATTAATGTTACCTTCCATTAAGTGTAATTCTTTTTCGTGTATGCAGCACCCTTATTAAGGGGGTAGTTTGTACAAAAAATATAAAGCACAAGCGCATGACATCACAGTACAGAAGTCCTAGATTACTTATTTTAGGAGGAGCACTTGAATATCAGAGAGTTGCAAATCAGTTGGCTTCTTTTAATACGTTATTGCAACAGGTTCTTTCTAGCATATGTTCTATTATACAAATAGATGAAAGTGTAACCAACTGAAGTTCTGAACCTTTATGTTTCATTTTTTTAATAGGAGAATGATCATCTCAAGATGGTAATTTCAAAGATAGAGGCTCTTCGCCCAAATGTTTTGCTGGTGGAAAAAAGCGTGTCATCATATGCCCAAGAACTACTTCTGACAAAGGAAATTTCATTAGTGCTCAATGTGAAAAAGCCATTACTGGAGCGGATAGCCCGGTGCACTGGTGCTCTAATTAGTCCATCGATTGATAATGTTTCAGCAGCACGACTTGGACACTGTGAACTCTTCCGGTTAGAAAAAGTTTCTGAAGAACATGAGCCCACCAGCCAGTTCAACAAAAAGCCGTCTAAAACATTGATGTATTTTGAAGGGTGTCCTAGGCGTTTAGGTTGCACGGTAGTGTTTTCTGCCCAAACCTATCATTACTGTTGTTTGGATTTGAATCTTTGAAGTTATGTGGTTCAATATTAGAATCCCTTTTGCAGCATATGGCATCACTGCACAAGTGTCCATTGTCTTTGATGCTTTGGGAAATAGCTTGGTTTACTGGACTTCTTGTTCTACTCTCTTTCAATATTACTTGTGTAGTATGTGTTCAATTTTTCTTTTTATAACCCTCGTTAAGGAAGTTATGATCCCAACCTCTATATTTATTATGCATTTGATTTTTCTATTTTATGTGAGTGTAAGATCTAATTGTTCAATTTAGAAATATTTCAATATTTGGTTTTCTAAGATCAGATTGTTGTGGTTCACTTTGTAGGTTCTGCTGAGGGGTGCTTCTCGGGAAGAGCTAAAGAAAGTTAAACATGTTGTTCAATATGCAGTATTTGCAGCCTATCACTTATCCCTTGAGACTTCTTTCCTCGCTGATGAGGGTGCTACTCTGCCTAAAATCAGACTAAACCACTCAATTACTATACCAGAGAGGATAATGGCTGATAATTCCATTTCTGTTATCCGTAATTCTCAAGTTGCCACTAATTGTCAAGCAGTAGCTGATGCCTGTGCCGAGGATGATGGATCTGTTAATCTCAATCTGGAGCATGGAGGATTTGAATCATTGTCTGAGCGTTATGATCCCAAGTATATTTGTTGTTCTCCTGTTTCCATGGATCATAGGTTTGATGATGCTACCTCTGATGCACGCAACGATGATTTAAATTTGCAATCTCTGAATCAATGCAATGATTTGAAGGAGCCCAGTGTCTGTTCTTTTGATGCTAGTAATCTTACACAACCAGAATTGCAAGATATCATCGGTCAAGAGGAGAGGGAGCTTGGGAAGATTCTTGAATTGACAAAATTTGATAGGGTTAATGAAGATGAACTATCCAGTGAATACTTCTCAGCTGCTGACACTCACCAGAGTATATTGGTGTCATTTTCAAGCCGTTGCGTGCTGAAAGGAACTGTATGTGAACGCTCCCGGCTCCTGCGCATAAAGTTCTATGGCTCTTTTGATAAGCCACTTGGAAGATACCTTCATGATGACCTATTCGATGAGGTAGTTTATTTAAGGGTTTTTTTCTTTTATTTTCTGATGTGTTATTCTGAATGAATGAATTAACAAGATTCTTTTGTTGCCAGACAGCTTGTTGTCGAACTTGTAATGAGTCAGCAGAAGCCCATGTTCTATGTTATACTCACCAGCAGGGAAATCTAACGATCAATGTTAAACGTCTTTCCTCTGTAAAGCTACCTGGTGAACGGGATGGCAAGATATGGATGTGGCATCGATGCCTAAGGTGTGCTCATACAGATGGAGTCCCTCCAGCAACTCGTCGAGTGGTTATGTCAGACGCTGCCTGGGGACTTTCTTTTGGAAAGTTTTTGGAACTTAGCTTTTCAAATCATGCTACTGCTAATCGTGTTGCAAGCTGTGGCCATTCCTTGCAAAGAGACTGCCTCCGTTACTATGGGTAAATGCTGCAATGTTTAAATATTTTTTTAATTATTGATTTCCATGTTGGTGATCACTGAAATCTGTTATTTGACAGGTTTGGGAGCATGATTGCATTCTTCCGCTATTCCCCTATTGATATTCTCTCTGTCCATTTACCCCCATCAGTTCTCGAATTCTATGGCCATGGTCAACAGGAGTGGATAAGGAAAGAGGCAGAAGAGGTGATTTTATGAATAAGGATTTTGCATGCTTGCACTGAACTGATGCCAAACTTAATTCATTAGAGAACTATCGGTAAATTTTGCATGTTTTTGGTGTTTAGGCTTACTAGTTTATTAATCTTTTGTCTTTTTTAACAGCTTATGGTTAAGATGGAAACCGTGTATGCTGAGATATCTGATGTACTTGAAGGCATGGAACAGAAAAGTAGTTCCATTGGATGTGAAACTTCAGATATAACCGATTTAAAGAACCACATTGTGGAACTGAAGGATCAGATTAAAAAGGAAAGGAATGATTACATGGTAAGCTTTCTTTGAAGTCTGAGTGTAGTTCTGCCATTAGAATGTCATAGCTATTTGGTCCAAAGAATCTTGGCAAGTGCATGCCGGGAATCAATTTTTCATTAATGCTTTATATATTCAAGTGATGAGTTTATTGTTTTTAATTGCTCTCCATGTGAATAGGGTCTCCTACGACCAGTTGTTATGGAGACTTCAGAACCATGTCAGGCGTCTGTAGACATTCTTGAACTGAACCGTTTGAGACGTGCCCTTCTCATTGGTTCACATGCTTGGGATCGTCAACTTTATTCATTGAGCTCTCTTCTTAAGAAAGGTTCTTTTGCCAAGGCTACTCTCAGGGATGCATCTTATGCCCAACTGAAAGAGTTTAAAAGTGATTCGTTGTGCAAGGGTGGTAAAGTTGATTATGGGCATGAGGAAAATATGTCTGGATCTTTAGAAGTACAGGAGTTTCCTGCAAATGATTCACAGTCAGAACAGAAGGAAGAGCCTAGTTTACCAACCTTAGAACCTTTTGGTTCTGACATTTCCTTATTAGGCTCATCTCATCATAACAGAGAGGAGGATGCGCATTCAGATGGCGAAATTGCATCCACTCTGTCTGAGAGAATAGATTCTGCATGGACAGGGACTGATCAATTAGTTCAGCCTCTACAAGCATCTCAGACAGATGGCCTCCAAGCTGGTTTGGTTCCGCAGATAAGAAAAGTCGATAATCTTCCTTTTAAAAGGCTAACTGCTCCGGTGAGAGTTCATTCTTTTGATTCTGCTTTGAGAATCCAGGAAAGAATCTTGAAAGGATTGCCTCCTTCTTCATTGCATTTGTCGACAATTAGATCTTTCCACGCTTCTGGAGAATATAGGAGCATGGTCAGAGATCCGGTATCTAATATAATGAGGACTTATTCCCAAATGTTGCCAGTGGAGGCACAGAAGCTAAATTTGGTTCTTGGTTCAACACCCTCATTTATCTCCTCTGCTTCTCGTGTGGCTGAAGGGGCTCTGTTGCTGCTTCCCCACAGTGGCAATAATGATTTAGTTGTTTCTGTTTATGATAATGATCCTACCAGCATAATATCATATGCTCTTAGTTCCAAGGAGTATGAGGACTGTGTTGCTGATAAGATGAATGAGCATGAAGGAGTGTGGAGTGCCAATGAGATCAATAGAGATGGTTCTGGGGTTTCCACCTTTTCAGCCTGGCAGTCATTTGGCTCTATGGATTTGGATTATATCCACTATGGAAGTTATGGATCTGAAGATGCTTCTTCAATGAGTAACTTGTTCACAGATCCCAAAAAGTCACCACACCTAACAATTTCTTTTGGGGACAAGTCTTCGATTGCTGGTGGTAAAGTGAAGTTCTCTGTCACTTGTTACTTTGCGAAGCAGTTTGACTCTCTTAGAAAGAAATGTTGTCCTAGTGAAGTGGATTTTGTGTGCTCCTTGAGCCGCAGTCAGAGATGGTCTGCACAAGGTGGAAAAAGCAACGTATTTTTCGCCAAGTCATTGGATGAGAGATTCATTATAAAACAAGTCAAAAAGACGGAGTTGGATTCCTTTGTGGAATTTGCACCAGAATACTTCAAATATCTGACAGAATCTCTTAGTTCAGGAAGCCCAACTTGTCTTGCTAAAATTCTTGGCATTTATCAGGTTAGTTTTCACGCTTTGCTTTTCCATGTGCGTGTAGATGCATGGGTTATTGTGGGCACTGGGATGAAACATAAAAGAATTCCTATGGATTATGATTCTAATGTAAATGGTTTGATTGCAGGTCTCTGTAAAACACCTGAAAGGTGGCAAGGAAATAAAAATGGACTTGATGGTAATGGAGAATCTCTTTTTCAGGAGAAGCATCTCAAAGGTCTATGACCTTAAGGGCTCTGCAAGATCTCGTTACAATCCAGATACAACAGGTGCAAACAAGGTACTTCTAGATATGAATCTCTTAGAAAACCTGCGTACAGAACCAATATTTCTTGGAAGCAAGGCAAAGAGAAGCTTAGAGAGAGCCATTTGGAATGATACATCATTTTTGGCGGTAAGTTTTTCATTTTGCATCATCCTTATATAACCATGAGTATGAACGCTTCGCCTTCTATCTTACCATCCATGATGTTGTGCTTCTGCAGTCCGTTGACGTAATGGACTACTCGTTGCTGGTTGGGGTGGACGAAGAGGGCAAGGAGCTGGTTTTAGGGATCATCGATTTCATGAGACAGTATACATGGGACAAGCATTTGGAGACATGGGTTAAAGCTAGCGGGATTCTGGGCGGACCAAAGAATGCTTCCCCGACGATTATATCTCCCAAGCAATACAAGAAAAGGTTCCGAAAAGCGATGACAAGCTATTTTCTCACAGTACCTGATCAATGGTCTTCATGAAACTGCTGCATTCTTTTCTTGCACAAAAGCCATTTGTTCATTATTAACATTATAATTGCAGATAAAATAGAGGCAAATCCCTCTGCTTACCTTGTTTAAAATTTTCTTTTTCTTTTTCCTTTTGCTTATGTGCAGAACTGGCCCTAAAGAAAAGGCTTATACAATTGAGGGAATAATAGAAATTCCTTGCGAAGAGAGCTCTTTGTACATCTTTTTATCCTAGTGCAAAAAGGTTCCTTCACACCACTCCAGTTTGTAATGTAAATCCCTTTTGTTTTAACACCTTGAAAAAGATCAAGATTTGTGCTCATAACTTGCATTCAATAAAGCAAACCTTTTACTTAAAAATCAATCTTTTATTTATAAGGGGAATTATTATATTACTTACCCATCTCTTTATTTGTAAATCATTAGATTGGTCTTTTATTTTAGACTTATTATCTCTTACCTCCTCTGAGGTTTAATGAAAATACAAGTAAAATCTCTAATCATGATAATGGAAAAAAGACATAAATTGTAAAATAGCCAAAAAAAAAAAATGACAAAACTTAAAAGACATAAATACCCATATACTAATATCTATATATATAAAAAAAAATGTTTCAAAATAAGATTACTAAAAAAATAAAAATATTTTTTTTGTCAAGTAAATAAATTTATTAAAAAAAAAAAAAGAGGAAAAAGAATACACATAGGCCTAATAAAAGGCGGCCAATCTATATCAGGATATGCCCCGAGACGGGGATCAAAAGAAAGCAAGCGGATTCAGTAAACATAAAAAAAGATAAATTAAAAAAATAAGAAAACAAAAGTTAAAATCCTTCAAAAAAGAAAAGGGAAACTAAACATAATTAAAATATAAAACCAAAACTAAAAATAATTGAAAAATTAAAAAAGGAAACATGTCGGCTGGCAGGGCCCTTCAATTCTTTTTTATTTTTTGCCTTTTAAAAATAATAATACAATTTTTAATTATTATCATTTTGTTAAGAATATAATTTTTAACTAAAGATATTTTAAAATTATAAGAAATTATAGAAATATACGTCTTTATCAACTACCATTTGTAGCCTTCCAACAATTTCTAACAAAAATTTATAATTGCACTAGATTTCTCTTTGATTCATGTTCTGTTCAATATTTTCTACTCTTAAAAAGGAGGAAAAATTACAAAGAAATAGCAAAGTAAAATAAAAATATATAATATCATAACAAAATCTTGAGGTAGGTTACATCTCCAAGTCTCAGCTCTTACAAAATTTCCTCAAACATTACATTACAAATTAAGCTAGCTATAGAGCTTCATTTAACTTGTTCTATGTACATTAATTATGAAAATAAGAAGACACAACATTAAATTTTTCTGCAGGCTGAAATTGAGATTAGAGAAGAACCCACAAACATAATTTTTCTGCTATATTTCTTTTAATTTATTTAGAATTTTTTATTTTAATTTCAGCTTGTCAAGAAGCAACTGCTATTTGGTTTCCCCCTTCATTGACTGGCATGAAGCTCACACGTTTCTGCATTAAAAATTAGAAGATAAATAAATAATGAAATTAAAATCAATGTAAACAAGCTTTTTACTTTTACCTTATTTTTTCTTTTTATTCTGACTTCTGTTTATATTTTTATAGCTTTAATTGCCATGTACGTCTAAATTAATTCAACAATACAACATCAATTAAAAATTTAATGGAAGAAACATGTAATTAAGATAATTATCTTGATTTGATTCCTTAATTTATTATTCCTAAAGAGGTGGATTAGATCACTGAATTTGCTTAATTAAGTAATCAAAAGTCATTAAAGCTCTGTTAAGTGTTGAAATTTTTTTTTTTTAATTATACAAAAATTAATAAAATATTGATCTTATCTCTATCTTTCACATGCATGTAAAAGACAATGAAGAAGAAGTCTCACTAAGGCAGGTGGTAGTTGAGATTAAGATTTCAAATTTGACTAAGATTAATTGCTTCGGATTCTGTGCTTTATTTGCTCCTAAATTTCTCCTCACACAATATTAAGCTGGAATAGTAATTTTTTAAGAAGAAATTATTTATTATTTTAATTCACTCAATTTTCTTACCCTATAAATACATCTCAAATTGAGTAAACTATAGCTAAGGAAACCATTTGCCTAAAATATATGAGACTTATTTTGTCACCCTCAAAACTAAACCAAAACCGCCCATTAAGAAGAAGAAGAAGAAGAAGAAACCAAAAGTCAAGATTGGGTCCTAATCAAATTAATACTTGATTGAATTTTAGGTCGACCTACTTAGCTAAAAATGTCTACCCAATTTCTCTTCGATTTTTAATTCCTAACTCAATCACCCAATTAAACCAAATATACTCTTTTGGTCGTATTCTTTCAGGGACATCCTATTTATTTATTTTTTTTTAAATATATTTGAAAGGAAAAAAAAAAGTCACCCATGATGTGAAATAATTAGTTGAAATTTTGTCTAGGGACCTCGATCTCTCGCCCATCCTTGAAAAGATGTCGTATCCTCTGACCTTAGCCCCAATCCTAGGATGATACACCTTAACCATTTGAGCTACCCAAAGCTGAGTTTTTAGAGTAGGGTTGGGTGAGAGAATTGCACCCCCAGGCCCCAGCATGTACCGGTAATTCACTAATTTTTTTTTTAAAAAATGAAATATTAATTTTAATTAATTATATAGTTTTATCAGGATGGGACTTGATTGGGTCCTACTCCCACCCCAAACCTCGGACTTTAACTGGTGGAAGTGGAACTGCTTTTTTCAAATATCCAATCCTGTCGAGTTTTTCTACCATCTCTAATGTTTGGATATGTAAAATATCAAAACGTTCACACACACATGAAAATTTTCAAAAAATTTCGTATATTTTATAATGAATAAAACATGAGACAATAACCTAAAAAATGAGCAAGAACATGGCATGAAATAAGGATCTTGTCACAGAGACAGAGAAAACTAACCTCACGTGCCTTGAATCCTTCTCGAACTCGTCCATGTCCATGGCTGTTCTTCCAAAGCATTTGTCCCTGCAACACCCCATCATTCTCATTCTTCTTCCCGGCAATTTTACCCGAATCATCATCACCATCACTATTCCTTGTACCATTATTCGCCATGCAAAGTTCCATAATTTTCTCCGCCACCTCGCTCTCATTCCTGCTTTCTTTCATCAATTTCTCCACTTCAGCTTTAGGAAGTTTCATTTTCACCCTCATTCCATTATTACTTCCACCATTTTTCTCCGAACTCTCCTCGCCCAAACCGCTCACTTTCTTCATGATGGTGAGATCCGACACCGATCTCCTCGACAACATCAAGCTCTCGAGCCTGTCTTTCGCGCTCATTTGAATCCCCGACCGGACCCTCCTCGGAACTTTCTCCGCTGGAGCATTCGGTAGCTCCACCAAAAAATAAAGCCGTTTCGGCTCCAAATCCTGCTGCGGCTGCAACGGCTTCGCCCGAATTCCGAAGTGCTTCACAGCTTCCGATTCCAACAACACGAATCCAGGATATTTCTTCACCACCTCTTCGGCTTTTACAGGCGTCTTCAACTTGAACGTTTCGCCGCTTATTTTCATCACCTTTGTTGTCTTCTTCCCCCCCAAACTGTTTCCCATTATTTCTGAAGTTTAATGTGCTGTAACCACAGGAAGCACTTTTCTCCCAGAAGTGCTTTTAAAATCAACTAGAGGTGACAAAATTACAAAATGATGGTGGGTGTAAAGTGAGGAGATGGATATGTTTATTTATAAAATAAACTTCTATGGTAGTTGATGATGTTATGAAGGGAGTCAGTGGTCAACAAAGAAGGCAATAAAATTTTGAAATGGGCAAAATGTTTGACAAAAAGTACGTAAGCTTTCGCTTTCAATATAAACTTTTTAGTTCCATTTAACGGGATTACTGTAAGTTACTGAGAACCAGCTCTTTCAATTGCCATGTTCACATTCAGGAACATAGTTCATTGATAATTGGAGGCCCGTGATGTGAGGGGATAAGATTGAGATATTTTGTTTCGTTATCTGAGAGCATTTAATGATATCTTTTGTGTAAAAAAAGAACATCTCCCTTAATCTCTAAATATAAAAAATAAAATTTTATTTAAATCTAATGAATTCCTCAATTTAATGAAATACTTTTATTTTCAAGAAAAATGCTTAATAGAATAGACATTGATAAATAAAATATATAAAAAAAAATATGTCATTATTAAAATTAGATAAAAAGTAAAATTTAACCCTCAAATATAGAGAGTCAAATTATTCTTTAATTTAATTTAAAAAATGAAGAGTCAAATCTTTATATAAATCAATTGTAAAACGTCGACAAGATATTAATATATGACTAATTTTTTTTTTTATTTTGTGTTGATTTATTCATTCATATTATGTGACTTGATGTGTATGAATTAGAATTTATGTAAATCATATTATTTTCGTTAAAAAGAAAAGAAAATTCCACCTAATTTATAATAACAAGAATTCCTATTCTCAGTTTCAAAAGAATCAAAATAAATCATATATCATGGTGTGTTAGAGAAATAAAATTAAATGAGGATGTGTTCATATAATGTATTACTTTAAGAAACATAATTGGGTTACAACTAAGCAAATCTATATCCTTATCATTTTCAATCAATCAATTATAATTGACCCATTTGTAATTTGTTTCAATTTTAAAAACCATATTTCATTTCTCATAGACTAAATAGCATAAGCCGTGATGATTACAAATCATATTTTTTATAGTGTATTATTATTTAATCATATACAACGGTAATCACGGGGAAAATTCTGGATCCCTGTTGGGATTCCTTTGAAAAATTAAGCATGTGAGATTTGACTTAAACGTTACACAATTACAAATTTCACTCAAATTTCCAAATGTTGCTGTGCACTACATTTAAAATATCTATTGGATTTCAAATTCTAAGTACCAACTTTTCCAAGTTCAATCTGGTGGCATGCAGTATTAGCTATAGGGCATAGGGTATAGCTAGCCTGGTGATAATAATAAAAAATAAATAAATAATATATATATATGGTTTATACTGTCACCCCCTGAGGTGTGGGTAAATACTTTCCTCCACTTTGTTTTGGAAAAATAACTCAGCCACTCCTAGTTCTAGACGATTTTTTGTCAATTAAATAAAAAGGTTAAGGGTAAAAGAATATATTTGAATAAACGGCTAATAACTTTGACTATCTTAATAGAAGTTTTGACCAAATGGCTGATAGTTTAGACACAAACGATTAACTATTTAGTATTATTGCATTTCTTGAATGCAAAATCAATCAGTTGTTTGACAAATCTTTTATGATACCAAACAATAATAGAAATTATTGAAACTCAAAAATCAACAAGTGTTACGATAAATCACCAGCAATTATATTAAGATTCGATACTATAATAAAAAAAATACACGAGGTTTTTAAATTCATTTAATAATAATAATAATAATAAAAAAAAAAAACTTATTGCTTAAAGATTACAAAGACTTTATTTATTATAATTAACTTTACTAGTTAAGAAAACAATAAACCTAATAATTAAAACAAATCTATTAGTATGAAAAGCGTCTAAACAAGAAATCTAATTTAATTAGAACTAATAAAATAAAAAAGAATTTAAGAATAGAAAAGTCTAAATATAAGGAAATATTATAATCTTTTTCCTAAATATTTTAATAATATATTTTCTGCATAACTTTATTTATAATATCTTTTTTGCTCTTTATTTATTATTTTTGCTCTTAATTGACAGATCCAACCAATTGGGATGTATAATTTAGTTCTCCAAAATTGGAGGGGACAAAAATTTCACCAAACCTTAAGGGTGGCCAGTAATTAACTTTTCTATCTTTATCCTTGTCAAAATAATTTTTTTTAAGTCTAAATTGATCCTGGACATCAAATTTTATAACTTGAAAGTGTTGAATTTCTTCAAAATCTGGTCATCAGGAAGCACATAGGCAGTACAAGTTACAAACTAATCTTTAAAAAATAAAAAAAAAAAAATACATTCCAATAAGAAATTTTGATTGTTTCAACTAGATTATTCAAGAGTCAAGAATGTAGAGAAATATTTTAAAAACTTTGTAATTTAAGATTTTTACAGAGAGGGATAGCGAGCGCAGTAATACTAATATTATTTAAAAATAAATAATAGTTTTTTGAAGAATCGATTTGTACATTTTCAAAATCCTGATTAAAAAACAACATTATGTGGAAATTCTATATTTTTTAAGTTTTCAAATTAAAGAAATCAATAGTTCTTGAAATCGTCAACTTCACTTAAAATTCATCAATGCATGGCGTAATAATTTTGATATAAAAAATTTGTTTTAATCAATTATACAAAATTTAGTAAATAATTTCAAAAAAACATTACTCTAAGCATAAGTAACATGATAATACCAATAGAATAACATAATATAGTATAAATTTGATTATCACAACCTGAAACGTGTAAAATTAATGTTCTAGATTTCTCCCGTTCCCTCTTTCTATTCTGTATTTTCCCAGAAGTAACATCAATTCATAAGAACATTCATAAAATCCAACTAGCTAGGCAACTTGGGCATTACTCCAATTTAAAAATGATTCCATGTTTAATTAATTGTAAAATTTAAAAATAATGATTATAGGTCACAATTTCTTCAAAATTCAACTACTAAATTCAAATTAATACAAAAATTCAAGTCCCTATTTCATTACTAAATGATAGGACTATTACAGCTTGAACATGTAGAAAAATTATAAGATAGCAACACATTTCATATTACGTCAGATGTGAACAAATTGAAAACTGGGAGAAATCTTGAAGACTAAATTTAAAACGACAAATGAAGAAGTCGTTTTTCTCTTGGGATGATGATAAATATACAGTTGTGCTAAAAAACATAGAAAATGCAAATCAAATAAGACTTCAAATTCAAAGCTATCTCTACAGTCAATACAAAACATTTGGTCAAAATATGAATGAACTTTTGGCTTTTGTTTTGTTGTTTTTAGGGTTTTCTGTTTCTTTGTGATAATCACTGCAGATGTCTATGCAATAATAAATTAATTACCATAATTTCCCTTCTACATTCTTGTTTGAAGGTCGGGTTCAATTCAATTCAATAGTTTAACCATCAATTTGATAAATTTTATTAATGTACCAAAATTGACTGAATAATCGAGAAAATAGGATTTTAACACCTACCTTTGTTGAAAAACAAAAATAAGTATTTTTTTTTTTGCATGTAACAGTATATGATATTTTCGTATAATAAATTAAAATGTATGTTATTCATATTTGGATGTTGCGTGCATATTATCTTTTTATTTAGAGACAATTCAAATAGGTTGTTCTAGAACGATTCAAACTAAGGTAGATGGTGAAATTCATTGTATTGAATAAAAAAAATTTTCTTGAAAAACAAATTTTCTGTGATGTTTTGCATGTAACACGTATATACATATCAAATTTCTTGTGATAAACTAAAAATCCTACATACTATTCATGTTTTACATGTAACGGCGTATATCTATCTTGAAATTTTTATGATTAAAATCTTACATACGTTCCTTTAGTAAGATAACGTGAAATATTATTATGCGAAAGACTCGAAATGCCAAAATAGTTTAAAATGAAGAAAGAACAAGAAAAACTAAAAAGGGGTGACTTTATAGTTTATAAAACAACTCATTCCACTTAACTTTTGTAGTTTTTTATTCAGTAAACGACTTTTTCCACCCCAAGGTTTGCCTTCATGACCCTTTCTAAGAAAAAAATTTTAAAATATCACTTTCTACCAAAGTTATATTTTGTTTACTATTTAGAATACACTTTCCGATTTGCATCACAGAGATAAAACTTGACCCAGCTGTTTTGGGCTTTTAAGAGGAGATGTTGGTGAGTCTTTTGATGGTGTAGATTGAATTTTGATGGTAGGATTGATCAAAATCTGATTGGGAAAGACAGTGCGTGTACACAAATCGCTCGATTGTCGACATGGCGAGGTTGCAGAGCAAGGTTTGAAGGGTTTTATGAGTGATGATTGGGGAAGAGAATGGTGATGGCGTGGGTCGCAAAGGATCAAATTGGCTGTGATTGGTCGGAAATATAAATTTTGGGTGAAAAGTGTCATTAAGACAAATCTTGGGTGGGAAAATGGTTTACTCTTTTTATTACAAGAATAATTAGAGTTGTGACTTTATATATGATTTATACAAAAGTGGTGATAATAAAAAGCGTATTTGGTGGGGTTTATCTATAAATCAAAGAGTTTATAAAGGTATAAACACTTTAAAAAAAAAAAAAAAATTCATTGTATTATAAAAGTGTATATAAATTTTAAATAAAAATTTTACGGTTTATATGAGTTTTCTTATAAGCTCCTTTTAAACTTATTTAAAGTATTGAAATTCAAAAATATTCTATTAATTAACTATATTCTTATATTAAAGCCTTTTTTTAGGAAATTAATTCTAAAAAACCTTTTACATTTTCTTAACCAAATAACTAACAAATTTTTTTTTTCATAAAAATTATATGTTCATAAACTCTCTTCTATTAACTTTTTTTTTTTTTTTTTTTTTTTTTTTTTGTGTCCAGGGATATCCGGCCAACTTCAAATAAACCATACTAAACTGAACATAAACATTCTATGTAATTCTACTGAACGTGTACAATGACTTCATATAAAGATTAAAGAGCCACTAAGCCCATCACATCACAACTCTTCAAACATCCCATGCTTGAATAAAGCTTTGAAAAACCCAAGAAACATAATAAATTATACTACAAAAAGGGCTTCAATTGCATTTTCATTATGATCAACATGTACTTGCTTTTAGCTTTTTTTCATCCATGGGCGAGTTTATTTTTTCTTTTCAATCATAGCAAGAGATCAAAAGGGGAAAAATCTTGAGTACTTAATTTTTTAACAAACATGTCAAATGGGATTTTTACACAGTCAAATGCTGGAATAAAACACAAAGGCACCGAGAATAGGTTTTTCTTTTACCTCTCATATGCTCATTTCCTCAGTTTCATGAATAAAAGGAATGGTGTGGCAGCAGCGATTGTCAAAATAATTGGAATCAAAATAAAGAGAACAAAAAAAAAAAAAAGGAATAAAAATCTATGCGACAAACTACTCCTGTTGGAGTTGCTGTAATTTGCGCAGATGCTCCAACAGTGAAGTAGCCTTTCGCTTCGCCCTCTCCGTGCCACTCTTAGCAAGTTCGGTCAGGGGTATGAGAGCACCAAGCCTACTTATGCACGCGAGATTCTCGGAATCTCTCTTGCACAAGGAGAGTAAAATGGCAGCTGCATTTTCTTTATTGCGCGGAAGACCTGTCCTCAGAAGGTCTATCAAAACAGGTATCGTGCTCGCCTTCACTATAGCGACCTTTGCCTCTTGGTTACTAGCTAGAACTGAGAGTATTGTCAGAGCCTCATCAACCATACAATTTCTTGAGTCTGTAAGCATTTTCAGTAAAGCAGAGATAATTCCGGCCCTTACAGCCCTTCCCTTGTTCCCCAGATAAATGCAAAGATTGAACAATGCAGTTGCAGCATCTTTCTTTCCTCTCATACTCCCGTTTTGGAGCAAATCTACCAAAGCTGGTATTGCGCCTGATGCCCCAATTATTATTTTGTTCTCATCCAGAAGTGATAGGCTAAAAAGGGTTGCTGCGGCATTCTCTCGAGCTTCCATGCTTCCAGCTCTCAGGATTTGAACTATGGAAGGAATGGCACCGGCAAGCATTATGAGTCCTTTGTTATTTTCATATATAGACAGGTTAAGGATGGAAGTCACAGCGTGTTCTAGCATTACAGCGTCATCTGTTGTTAAAAGGTTAACTAGAATAGGAATCGCTCCTGCTTCTGCAATTAGTATCCTGTTATCAGTACTTCTTTTGGATAGCGATCTTATTTCAGCCACAGCAGCTCTACACTCCTCAACTGACAGGCTTGAGAGTTTGCGGACCAGAGCCTCAATGGCAGCCACATCCCCACTAACGTCACGAAAAGAGCCATCACTCTTCCTTAACTTCCCATTTGCTACTCCTGTAGGCTGTTCGATATTGTGATTTGTACACCACTGAGTAATTAGACTTCTCAGAACATAGTTTGGGGTAAGCATTAAATGTTGGAGCTTCTGCTGAGTTTTTGGACATGTTACATTGCCACAATCTATCCATCTCTGTATGTACGACCTCTCATACGTCTGCAATTTTATGAGAATACTAATTCAGAAGTCCAGCATTACAAATACATTTTAGATGAGAATCGGATTGTGTTGATGTATTACCTGTCCTGTGGCCACAATAACAGGATCCCTCATTAGTTCTAAAGATATAGGGCATAGAAAATCAACAGGAATGGCAAGCGCATCAGGCTGCTTAATTTCATCCATACTCTTGCCGGCTGAATTCTCTTGCCCTTCAGCGTTAACATTGTTTGACTGGCAGACTCCAGATGATAAAGGAAAGCTCCTTGATCGTTCCAAGTTGATCGTCTGCTCTGCACCATCGCCTTTCAAGTCAATACTTTCCGGGACATGATCTTGCTTCACTACAACAAATTGGTCACTAGTATTACTACCTTCTTTGTCCATCGGCTGGGACAATGCATGAAAAAACTTTCTTGAATTCAAGGATCCATATCTCTCCGTGGCTCTCTTTAACTGAGCTTTCACCAATGCGACCTGAGAAAGAAGAAGATAAATTAAGAGAACATTCAATCAAGACAAAAGCACAAATCTCTCATAAATTTTATCTGGTTATACCTGTTCTTGAACTTCCTCAGAGATGTCAAAACGATCATACGGTATATTCCCCAAAGCTTTCTCCAGTTTCCATGTCACACATTGAAACTGAAAAGAGATTTTCTTCGCGGCAACATCCTTAAATCAAAATATAACAAATTTCAGAGAGACACCAACACAATACTCCGCAACGGTAAGACTCGACGTCCTAAAAAGCAAAATGAATGTGAAAGCAATGTCTCCTCCAATCTTCACTCATCCCCAACATTTAAATCAAACCACCAATAATTGAATTTCATCACCTAGTGAACACTAATATATCACTAACATTTCACAATCAAGAAGTGAAAAATAAAGCATCAATAGCACCAACCTGAAGTCAATTTATTGCTCAAGTTCAAGTGGATCTATCCGAAAATTGTCCCAAAAACATTTCAACCAAACGCGTTTTTCATCAATTTCAAAAGCACTTGTTTCCAAAAACAAGAATTTGCATCCACATTACAAATCAAATATCTGAACTAAAACAAATTCACTTCAATCTACGATAAGCGACTGCAAATAAAAAAAACTAAACAACATGTAAAAGCTTACAGAAGGGTCATTGGATGTGAAACTTGAAGAAACAGAAAGGAGTCGCTTAGCAGCCTGCAGAGCCAGCACCAGATCATTCCACCAACTCCCTTTAGACGAAGAAGAAGACTCAGAATTAGTCAACTCATCCAACAGCCCACAATCTCTAATCTCCTCCAACAAATGTTTCAACAAAGCAATCCTCCGCACCAGATCCATACAATCCTTCCTAAACAACCCACCACTCCCATTTCCCCCCAACATCCCCACAATCTCCCCCACCACCTCAAGCACTCCCCCCACCGTCCTCTCCCCTGCCACCGCCACGGCGGCTCCGCCGGCCATCTCCCTCCTCACCTTGCTAGCTGAACTCAACGAGAAGAAGAAGAAGAAGAAGAAGAGAAAAAGAGAAAGCGCATTTGGGTTTGAGGGGTTTTAAGTATATAGTTTAATGGGGTGGGTTAATAAGCCAGTGAGTGAGTGAAAACGGAGCGAGATTCGCGGAGGAGAGAGAGAGAGAAGAGAACAAAAACAAGAGGATACAGTTGGCTTTGGAGTATGATGAATTGTAAACACAACAACTAAATTTTCTTACAGAAACATCTTAACACTTTTAACACTCTTGTTCTGTCTTCTATTTCTTCTTCTTATGGTTATTGACTTTACTTTTACAATGTATAAACACCAACTGGTTCTGGTTGTGTTTTGTGAAATGTGATAGGGAAACCGCACTGAAACTTGCTGCCAGCCTGTAAATGGCCGTTATTATTGTTATCGTCCCCATGTTCTATCTCTTTTTTTTTTTTTATATATTTGCCTATTTCGGAATATTATTAGAATTATTTCTATAAATATTTATGTATTTTAGTAAAGAAGAGAAATTTCGGCCACGAGAAATGCTCCTAACGCTCTTTTTTTTTTAACGTTTTTTATTTTTATTTTTGATATTTCTTCATCTTACCTGATTAAGAAAAAAATTGAAATATTCACTTCCAAAAATGATAATATATTCCTTTTTTCAACATCATTATATTGTCTTACGCTATTTTTATAATCGACATTATTTATGGGAAAGGTCTTTTTTTTTTTTTAATATTATAAAGTGAAAGGCCTTTGATCGTTTGATTTTAGAATTTCATTTTTTACAGATTTTGAAATTTATGGTAACTGTTTGCATTTTAACTATTTTGTTAAAAAAAAAAAAAAAAAAAAAAAATCAGTGGGATTGAGGGGTTTATAAATTTTTTGTTTTAAGGAAACTCTTTTTTATGTTTTTTTTTATTTATGGATAAGTAATGGTTGGGATAAGACAAGCTAAGCTCTAAAAATGGTGATGCTGGAAGGATAATGTACAGCTTGGTTTTTGTTGTAGAACGTGTTGTTGGGACATATGATGCTGGAAGTGCTTTTGTAAAAAGCACTTTTACTTGTTACATTTTTATTGTAAAGAAATTTAATTATCTTTTATGTTGAACGATCTTGAAGTTAGATGAGACTCCAATTTTTTTCTTTTTTTTTTTATGATTGGGGTGATTAGGATTTGTTCAGAGTGATTCATTGAACACCTTACAAACTCAATGAATCACATAAATCATAAATATGATAGGTGATCAACGTAGAGACCGGAGTAAAAGACCTCTAAGTAACCCACACATCTGATCATAAGTCGGTTGACGAGGCTTTAGTTTCCAATTTGGATTTATAAAAAATGGAAAAAAAAAAAAAAATTTGGAAAGGCTTTAAGAGAAGTTTAAAATGTTTAAACAAGTGTAAATGCTTTAATCACTTTCCTCAGTTTTAAAGTTTTGTTCTGATTTATTTTCAGAAAATAATATTAAAAATTAAACAAATATAAAATATAATATTTGAAAGGAAAGCAGCCAGAGGTCAATAATTCTGCTGTCAAACACTTCCCCATAAAGTGAGGTGGGTTATATACTTGAAAGATTCATGCACTATAGTTGGCACTTTGACAAATTTTCTCTTCTATTTTCTTTCCGAATCAAAAACAATATATTTTTTTTCCTTTTCTTTAAGTTAAAGATAAAGAAAAAAAAATGGTTAAATTTTTATTTAAAGATAAGATTGGTTTGATTTTAAATGAAAATATAATTTGTCTTTCCTATAAATCCAAATATTTTTGAATCGATAACTTGATTTTGTGTATCTTAATATTATTATAGTTACAATTATCGCTCATTGAGATTTCATCGTCGGCTACTTTATTATCAAGTTATTAATGTCTTTGATTTTTGATATTAGACAAACATTGACCGCATACGTGGTCTTACGATTTTGTAAAGACTTATGTTTTTAGTAAACAGTTGCTTGAATCTAGTCATTACAACTGACGTATATACATATCAAATTTCTTGTGTAAACTAAAAATCCTACATACTATTCATGTTACATGTAACGGCGTATATCTATCTTGAAATTTTATGATTAAAAATCTTACATACTCATTTAGTATAAGATACCTGAAATATATTATGCGAAAGACTCGAAATGCCAAAATAGTTAAAATGAAGAAACAAGAAAAACAAAAAGGGGTGTTACTAAGTTATATAAACAACTCATTCACTTAACTTTTGTAGTTTTTATTCAGTAAACGACTTTTTCCCACCCAAGGTTTGCTTCAGACCCTTTCCAGAAAATTTTAAATATCACTTTCCTACCAAAGTTATATTTTGTTTACATTTAGAAACACTTTCCGATTTGATGCAACGAGATAAAACTTGACCCAGGCTGTTTGGGCTTTTAAAGAGGATGTTGGTGAGTCTTTTGATGGTGTAGATTGAATTTTGATGGTTAGGATTGGTCAAAATCTGATTGGGAAGGCAGTTCGTGTTACACAAATGCTCGATTGTTGACATTGACGAGGTTGCAGAGCAAGGTTTGAAGGGTTTTGAGTGATGTGATTGGGGAAGAGAATGGTGATGGGGTGGGTCGCAAAAGTATCAAATTGGCTTGGATTGGTCGGAATATAAATTTTGGGTGAAAAGTGTCATTAAGAAAATCTTGGGTGGGTAAAATGGTTACTCTTTTTTATCAAGAATAATTAGAGTTGTGACTATATATGATTTTATACAAAAGTGGTGATAATAAAAAGCGTATTTGGTGGGTTTATCTATAAATCAAAGAGTTATTTAAGTATAATCACTTAAAAAAAAAAAAAAATTATTGTTTATAAAAGTGTATATAAATTTTAAATAAATCATTTTACGGTTTATTATTTGAGTTTCTCTATAAGCTCCTTTTAAACTTATTTAAAGTATTGAAATTCAAAAATATCCTTCTTATATAATTAAGTCTTTTTTTTTAGGAAATTAATTCTAAAAAACTTTTACATTTTCTAACCAAATAACTAACAATTTTTTTTTTCATAAAAATATATGTTCATAAACTCTTCTTCTTACTTTTTTTTTTTTTTTTTTTTTTTTTTTTTTGGTGTCCAGGGATATCCGGCCAACTTCTCAAATAAACATACTAAACTGAACAAAACTTTATGTATTCTACTGAACGTGTACAATGACTTCATAAAGATTAAAGAGCCACTAAGCCCATCACATCCACAAATCTTCAAACATGCATGCTTGAATAAAGCTTTGAAACCACCAAGAAACTAATAAATTATATACAAAAGGGCTTCAATTGCTTTTCATTATGATCAACATGTACTTGCTTTTAGCTTTTTTCATCCACTGGTCACTATTTTTTTTCTTTGTTTTTTTATCGTACTTTACGAACAATTTAGATCAACTATAGATTTATCAGTCAATTATCTCGACAGAGTAATATATCGATCAATTATAGTAAATCGTTAACACCCATTTTTAGTCTTACTTCTTGACCATGCCGAGTTTTTTTCTTTTCAATCATAGCAAGAGATCAAAAGGGGAAAAATCTTCAGTACTTAATTTTTTAAAAAATGCAAAGGGATTTTTACACAGTCAAATGTGGAATAAATACACAAAGAGCAGAGAATGGTTTTTCTTTACCTCTCATATGCTCATTTCTCAGTTCATGAATAAAAGGAATGGTGTGGCAGCAGCGATTGTCAAAATAATTGGAATCAAAATAAAGAGAACAAAAAAAAAAAAAAGGAATAAAAATCTATGCGACAAACTACTCCTGTTGGGTTGCTGTAATTGCGCAGATGTCCACAGTGAAGTAGCCTTTCGCTTCGCCTCTCCGTGCCACTCTTAGCAAGTTCGTCAGGGGTATGAGAGCACCAGCCTACTTATGCAGCGAGATTCTCGGAATCTCTCTTGCACAAGGAGGTAAAATGGCAGCGCATTCTTTATTGCGCGGAAGACCTGTCCTCAGAAGGTCTATCAAAACAGGTATCGTGCTCGCGCTTACTATAGCGACCTTGCCTCTTGGTTACTAGCTAGAACTGAGAGTATTGTCAGAGCCTCATCAACCATACAATTCTTGAGTCTGTAAGCATTTTCAGTAAAGCAGAGAAATTCCGGCCCTTACAGCCTTCCCTTGTTCCCCAGATAAATGAAAGATTGAAAAATGCAGTTGCAGCGTCTTTTTTCCTCTCTACTCCCGTTTTGGAGCAAATCACCAAAGCTGGTATTGCGCCTGATGCCCCAATTATTATTTTGTTCTCATCCAGAAGTGATAGGCTAAAAAGGGTTGCTGCGGCATTCTCTCGGGCTTCCATGCTTCCAGCTCTCAGGATTTGAACTAGGAAGGAATGGCACCGGCAAGCATATGAGCCTTTGTTATTTCATATATAGACAGGTTAAGGATGGAGTCACAGCGGTGTTGCATTACAGCGTCATCTGTTGTTAAAAGGTTACTAGAATAGGAACGCTCCTGCTTCTGCAATTAGATCCTGTTATCAGTACTTCTTTTGGATAGCGATCATTAGCCACAGCAGCTCTACACTCCAACTGACCGCTTGAGAGTTTGGGACCAGAGCCTCAATGGCAGCCACATCCCCACTAACGTCACGAAAAGAGCCATCACTCTTCTTAACTTCCCATTTGCTACTCCTGTAGGCTGTTCGATATTGTGATGTACACCACGAGTAATTAGACTTCTCAGAACATAGTTTGGGGTAGCTAAATGTTGGAGCTTCTGCTGAGTTTTTGGACATGTTACATTGCCACAATCTATCCATCTCTGTATGGACGACCTCTCATATGTCTGCAATTTATGAGAATACTAATTCAGAAGTCCAGCATTACAAATACATTTTAGATGAAAATCGGATTGTGTTGATGTATACCTGCTGTGGCCACAATAACAGGATCCTCATTAGTTCTAAAGATATAGGGCATAGAAATCAACAGGAATGGCAAGGCATCAGGCTGCTTAATTTCATCCATAATCTTGCCGGTTGAATTCTCTTGCCCTTCAGCGTTAACATTGTTTGACTGGCAGACTCCAGATGATAAAGAAAGCTCCTTGATCGTTCCAAGTTGATCGTTGTCTGCACCACGCCTTTCAAGTCATACTTCCGGGACATGATCTGCTTCACTACAACAAATTGGTCACTAGTATACTACCTTCTTTGCCATCGGCTGGGACAATGCATGAAAAAACTTTCTTGAATTCAAGGATCCATATCTCTCCGTGGCTCTCCTTAACTGAGCTTTCACCAATGCGACCTGAGAAAGAAGAAGATAAATTAAGAGAACATTCAATCAAGACAAAAGCACAAATCTCTCATAAATTTTAT